ATTATGTTTAGAATAGAGGAAGCCTTGCTGGGGCGGGCAGTGCTTGTTCCCTGCTGGGCACAGATGTGAGGTTTTGCAGCCTCTTCTAGCAAGTGCCCTTGAATCCCCGGCAGGCATGAGCCACCGCCACGGTCACGTGAGCAGAGGCTGGAAAAGCTGCAAAAACATACAGGGCAGAACAGGCAGAGGAGGAGAGTCTGGCCCCAGGAGGTCTCCACGACTGCCTGGGACACAGATTCCTTGGAACACTGCGGAGTGCAGGGCTATGTAAACAAGAGATCAAAACAACGGCCTGCCTGGCCTTCAGCATGATAAATGTTTGTCCTGTGTGTGCAACAGGGTCGGACCCACCACCATCTTTTTGTAGTTTGAGCTTTATGAGGACACAGGAGAAAACTCTCTGGCGAGGGTTGGGAATCTTTCAAGCTGGTGTCTACTTGGTGGCTAGACCCACCTTCTAAGGGCAGACAGCCCCCTGCCTTTCCAGAGCTCAGTTTGCCCTTGTGACCCCCTCCTAAGCCAGGGACTGGGCAAGTTGCTCAGACTTTCATCATTTCAAGGCAGCTTGGGACCCCTCCCCCACAGCGTGGGAAGAAGTGATTCCTTGTCTAAACTGTGCCCCTGTTGTCCCCAGACCACTGAAGGCCTGCCCATAATCTCTGCAAAGGGGACTTTAATGAGAAGGAAAACAGTTCGGCCAGGTGTGCTGGGCTCCGAAAATCCAAGAACGTTTCAGCCACTCTTCCTGTCCCATTTGCTTCTGACCATGACCACAGTGAGACCAAAGCCTCTTCCTGTGAGCCTGGCTGTCCCTAGCTCTGCCCTGTCTCAGAGGTCTCCAGAAGGAAGCAAAGGCCGGAGACTTCATGTCTGAAGCGCTGGGCTTCTTAGGTCCTTTCATCACGTGAGATTGACTCCAGCCAATGTCCGCAAACAGACAGACTGACAGAGACAGACACCAAACACACAACAGGGCCTAATGAGGAGGCTCAACTGGTAAAGGTGCCTGAATTCAATCCCTGGCACCCACACGGCGGAAGGAGAGAACAGACCCCTGCAAGTTGTCCTCTGACCTTCAGGCACATGCCCTAGCACATGCACCCACACACAGTGGCTTCTACTCTCACACAAGCATACACACACACACACACACACACACACACACACACACACACATGCACCTCCCAAGTAAATAAATAAAAATAAATAAATGTAAAGAAAAATTGAAAGGAAATGATATCTTTAAACAACAACAGTATCGGGCAGCAGATCAGTCGGTCGTTAATCTGGCCAAGTCGCTCCCGGGGCTGGAGCTGTCTGTAAGATGTCGCCACTTTCCTTTCTCTGGAAAGACTGAAAGTCTTATCGTCTTTCTTTGACCATCTGTCATTCCATCCTTTTCTGTCACAAGTGCCGATTTGTACCAATTCAAGTTCTTTATTTTATTACTGAAGTGCCATCAATAAGACCAAGCCTTTCAGCTAAGTTTTTGGCTTTCTGACTTTGTCGTCTGGGACCCATGCTGCTGAGATGTGATGTCTACAGACAGAATGTGACTACCGAGCTCAGAGAAAGCCATGGATCCAGTGCAGTGAGCGAGCAAAATGGAAAGCAGAGGACAGTCCTGGGGGCCTAGAGGACAATGTTGTGTTCAGGCTGTGCAGTGGAGACATTGTGCAGGTAGTGCAGGCGTCTCATAGGTGTGTGTGTGCATGTATGCATGTGTGTGTGCATGTGTGTGTGTAGGTGTGTAAGTGTGTAGGGTATAAGAGTGTAGGTCTGTTGGGGTGTATAAGTGTGTAGGTCTGTGTGTGGGGGGTGTAAATCTGTAGGTCTGTATGTATAGGTGTGTAAGTGTGTAGGTCTATGTGTGTAGGTGTGTACACAAGGTTTCAGGATGACTTGTGTGTGTATGTGTGTGTGTGTGTGTGTGTGTGTGTGTGAGAGAGAGAGAGAGAGAGAGAGAGAGAGAGAGAGAGAGAGAGAGAGGTTTCAGTATGGCTTGTGTGTATTCAAGTTTCCTTTCTGTTGCTGTGATAAGACACTCTAAGCCACAGTCACCCAGGAAAGAGAGGGTTTATTTCATCTTATAGATTTCAGTCCATCATTAAAGGAAGCCAAGTGAGAACTCAAGAAGAAATCTGAAACAGAAACTCTGAAGGAATGTGGCCCACTGATCCTCAAGCCCCTGCTTAGTTGACTTTCTTGTATAGTCCAGGATCACTTGCCTAGGGATGGTGCTGCCCACAGTGGGCTCAGGACCTCAACATCAAACAGTACCTAGCGACATGTCCACAAGTCAATCTGACCTAGCACTTATCCAGTCATGTCCTCCCTCTCAGATGACCCTAGGCCAGAGGTTCTCAACCTTCCTAACACTGTCACCTTTTAGTACAACTCCCAACCATAAAATTATTTCATTGTGACTTCATAACTATGATTTTGCTACTGTTGTGAATCGAAATGTAAATATCTGGGAGTCACAACCCACAGGTTGAGAACCACTGCTCTAGAGTGTGTTAAATGGTAATTAAGGCTAAGTAGCATGATGTGTGGTTGCCACTCCTGGTAGATTAATCCTGGGTATCCAGAAGTTCCACCTCTAGGCCTTCAACTCTGAAGTTCTTTCAGCCTTCTCTGTCTCCCCATGTTGCCTGGCTAAGCACCCTTGGGACCAGATGTTTTCGCACCACCTTTGTGGATGCAAATATGAAGGGGAGACACGGTGCCTAAGCTCCAGAGTTTCACCATTCCCTTGAGAAAGCTGATGGTATCTTAATTTTTTTCTTCCAAGAAAGTAGGAGATGTGGCTTGTCACCATCTGAAGCAGCAATAACCCGATGAGTGCTTTGATAATTCTTGCACCTAAGTCCTGACCCTAGCACCTCAGAGAGAAGGCCTTTACAGAGATGGTCAAATCCGAAGAGATGCTATGGGTAAACTCTTTTCCCACATGACTATCGCTCTTTCTGAGGGGGAGATCAGGGCATAGAGACATGGAGGGCAGACGTGGGAAGAAGGCTCAGGAGAAGCTGACCCGTCTGATATCTTTAATTTGAACTTTTGGTCTCTAAGATGATGGGATGGTGCATGTCTTCTGTATAAGCCTCATTCTGTGATATTTGTAATGGCAGCTAAGCTGACTTATACAAGGCTGTACACTCCTCTGGGTCTGGCCCTTTACTGGTTCACGGATGCAGTAAATGGGAGCGGTCTTGCTCACAGTAAAGCAGGTGGGCGTAGGAGCAGAGCAGGGAGTTTGCTGAGGTCTGTGGGGAAGTGAGCTCAGAGAGCTGATCTGTGGAAAGCAGCCGCTGGTTTCTATTGTGAAAGTTTCTTAAGCATTTTCTGCAACAGTTGACATCACTGGGTCTGGACTCAAAAGGAACTGTGGTGACAGTTTGTCAATAAGGATCCAAGGTTCATCTGGCTCCAGGGTGGACTCCTTGGGGCTCAGAAACAGGAAGAATAGACTCAGAAGGCCTCTGCCAGTCTCCCTATTCCTCCTATGCGGGAAACAGAGTTTGAGAAGAAATCCTACATTATGATCTCTCTGAGACTGGCAGATACAGGTGAAGGGTAGGCGGGGCTGCCAACCTAAGGCAGTTCTTGATCAAATAGAAGCCAATGCAGGGGAGATGTCAAGGACAGGGACAGGCCCCACATAGACTGATGCTGAGAGCCAGGAGGTTTCTAGGTTTGGCAATAAGGCTGGACCCTGGTGTCAGGAGAGCCCAAGGAGGGCACACTCAAGTGGAGCCTGGGAGCCACCAGCTACTTCTGTCATTTGTGACTCTTTGACATTCTACAAAAGCAAAACAAAAACTGCTACCTCTAAGCCAAGGAGCCTAGGGCATGCCCCTTCTAAATAAAGACCATACATTTCTTTAATGTAATTAGAAAGGATTTTGTTTCTGGCTTCCTTCTGAGGTTCTGGTGACTGGGTGGCACTCCGGCTGCGAAGTCTTCGAGAGAAAGGAAAACTTTTGGGTTGGGAACATGAGAGCCGCACCAATACTGTGGCTTCCAAGTTAGAGGGCTTGGGAAGGGGAACATCATACTCTGAGTTTTTGAGGTTTCCAGTAAGCGGGACACCCATGTGTTCACCCAGGACTGAAAGCCCTATTACAATGCATCCCTTGTTATGTTTAGAATTTAAGATGATATTTTTTCTATTTTAGTTAATGGTCTGAGAATGAGATTTTGGTTACTGGCAATAAATTGCATATTGGGGGATATTGGTGCAGAGGGACTCTAATTCAGTCCTTTTATAGCATCCTTTCCCCCCTCTGGTCTGGAGAATTCCTTTAAGGTGGTGGGGGTGATTAATGACCCCATGTGCCTGTGTACACACAGGGTCCACACGTCCTCGGAATGAGGAGCCCAGGGATCCTGGAGAACAGCCCCACAGCAGAGGAGGGAATCGCAACACCACTTTCTCTGCCAAGTCCCACCCCAGAGCAAACAGGGATGAATAGATTAATCGATGGAATGTGCTCGGGACTGCTTCCTCAAATGTGCAGGCCTAGCATTTTTTCTGGCTCAGAACAATAAGGAGACAGAAGGCATAGAAAATTCCCCCCTTTAAAAATCCTCTTCTGCCTCCTCTTCCTCTTCTTCCTCCATCTCCTCCTCCTTTTATTTTATAAGGAAAATACTTGATATCTAAACAATGTGCCAGACACAAGCTAGAGAGGATGGACACCATGTGCTAGTCACTTCTCGTCTCTGTGGCGCAGTGCCTGAGGAAAGGACCTGTAGGAGGGAAGATTGATTTTGGCCCACATGTTCAAAGGTTTCAGTCTGTGTCTGTGGTCCAGGGTTATGGACCTGTGGTGTCACCTCAGGGCAGACCAGAAGCAGAGAAAGCAGCAGGAAGATGAGCAGGCCCCACCTCCCACAGTCTATTTGACTATGAACTCATCAATAAACTGATCCTCTGATTAGTTTGCATAGTTCTGGTTCAACTTCAGAATGTGCCACTAACTGGGAACCAAGATTTCAACACAGAAGGCTTCTGAGGACACTCTTCACATCCAAATCAAAAAAAGATATCAAAAGAATCTTCTTGTTGGGTGCTCCTGCACTGCCAAGCAGAAGGGTAAGGTGCTCCAGGCCATACTAAAAAGAGTCACGGCTGCACCATCCCTTGACGTCACATGTCTAGAAGGTAAAGTTATGGGGTCTAGTCAGCCCAGAAGACAGACAGGAAACATGGATAGGATGGAGTGGAGGGTGGTCTAGATATAGTAAGTTTATATGTCCAGTAAGAGTTTAAATTCACGTCTACAGAAAATGGAGCTATGGGGTGTTCTAGAGCTGGAAAACTGAGAAAGGACTGATATGTAGAGCTGCACACACTCTGTGCCAGTGTGTGGGATAGAGAAGCATCAAGATTAGCAAGTCCAGTAAGACAATGGACAGGACTGGAAACCCCTTTGACCTCAGGCTACATATAACAAAACAGATAGGTTCAAGCTGTTAGGATCTCCCAGCTGGTGCTATGCAAGTGGCTTAGGAGAACTGTTTGTCTTTATGCCATATTGGATAACCAAAGAAATTAGTTTCTGATGTCAGCAGCAGCAGTAGCAGTAGCAGTAGCAGCAGCAGCAGCAACAACAACAAGACAGATGCATTTACGAGCAAGAGGAGAAGGCAGGTAGGCGAAAATCTTTTCCCTCTCACCTCCTTAAATTTGGGAGACTGCCACAAGACGACGCCCAATCTGGGAAAAGTTTCCCCTCCCCCAACTCCACATAATCATTTCAGGAAATACTCATACCGATTCCGGGTAGTCTCCATGGTTCTAGAGCCAATAAAGTTGGCAACCAGGATTAACTATCACATTTCTGTATTGGTTACTTGTCTATATTGTGACAAAATACCTGACAGAGAAAGTCAAGGAGGAAGGTTTTGGGGAGCTTACGGTTCTCGGGCACAGTCCATCACGGAAGAGAAGTCATAGTAACAGGATTTTAAGGCAGTTGGTCACACAGCATCCACAGTCAAGAAGCAGATAGCCATGAATACAGCCCCTTTGATTCAGTCCAAGACCTTATTCATAAAATGGTGCCACCCACTGTTATGGTGAGTCTTCCTGCCTCAGTTCACCTAATCTAGACAATCCCTCCCAGGCATGCCTAGTTGAGTCAAGAGTTCTCCTGGTTGACAGTCATTATCAACCATCACATGCTGGAGAGTCTTTGTCCACAGACTTTTCTCTTTCAAACACAGAGACCTTTTCTTAATTGAGAACCTACTACCACCGCCATTTTACTAGAGCAGCACAGTTCCTTACCACATTCTTACTACTTACACCCACAGATAAATGTAACTTGTAATCCTCCTCAGAGAAGCTTCTCTCTGCAGCAGACAGAGACCATCACAGAAAACCACAATGGTCAAAATACAGAGAACAACTGATTGTGGGGGAGGGGGCAGCCCCAACACTTACATCTACAGTACAGCTCCTGGGCCAAAGGTGCAGGGAACATTATGGAACAGGAGGGAGTAAGGATCCTAAGAGCCAGAGGACCAGGAAGGAAGTCTGCTGTGAGACTGTGTCCCCTAAACATGGCAGGGATGCTACATCCATCATCCTTCAACAGCATGCCTTAAACAAGACCTGAATGGCAGCAGCACCAGCTGACATACTGGCATAAAAGGGGAACTCTCAAGGAGCCCCACCACAGGCCATTGACAACTTCTTAGAGGCAGAGTTAATCTCCCCAGAAGGAGTCCCCTGATTGGTTACCCAATGTCATGCTGTCAGCCTTGAAATCATATGCAACTAAACAACATTAAATGTACTCATCAGGTTGTATTTGTATACTTATAATAATGCATAGATGTGTGTATGTGTATGTGTGTAAAATAATAAAATAAAAAAAAAGGAAGCCAAGAATTTGAGGAGTAAGAAGGGGGACCTGCGTGGGGTTGGAGGGAGAGGACACAATCAGAGTTGGAGGAAGGAAAGGGAAGAGAGGAAATGATGTAATATTTTAATTAAAAAAATATTGAAAAGCTTTTTTTTTCCAGCCCCCGTTTACCTTGGCTCAGACTTAAATAAAATACTGTGCTGTGGTGGAGGACAAAGGCAACCTGGGCCCTGTCCTCTTCTCCTTGGAAAAGATCAGTTAGCCCAGCTCACAGCTAAGTTCACATGTGGTCTAGCTTTAGTATTGGGGGCCATGGTGGGGAGAAACAAAAACCCTGCTCCTTTGGCAAAACTGGAAGTAAAATGTTTTACTGTACTAATTTCTGTTTCTTAATTCATTGGTAATTCAGAGAAAATGATATGAAAGGTTTATAGACCCAAGTGTTCAGAAAATATCATGCCTTTTCCTATATATAAAAATATAGTAAAATTTAATTTATAAGTTAGACAAAATAGAAAATTAGCAAAAGTAAATAAAAATAAAACCAAAAGTTATAACAATATTTCACTGGTTAGGTCTTTCTTCTCCTCTTCTTCTTCTTTTCAGATTGAGACAAGCAAGAATCATCTGGAAAGAGGGAATGTCAATTGAGAAGCTACTTCCATCAGATTGGACATTTTCTTGGTTAATGATTGATACTTGAGGGCCCTGATCACTGGGACTGGCACCTTTCATGGGCAGCCGGTCCTAGATTGTATAAAAAGGAAAACTGAGAAAGCCGTTGAAAGTAAGCCAATAAGCATTGTTCCTCCAGGGCTTCACCTTCAGTTCTTGCCTTGATCTCCTGCTCTGACTTTCCTTGACAATAAACGCTAACATGTAAGCCAAATAAACCTTTTTCTCCAAAGACTGGTTTTAGTCAATGCTTGAATATAATAATCAAATTCAAAGTAGAACAGAAATACTTTTGTAAAAGTTACACAAATGCACTTTTTTTTAAACTTTAATTTTTAAAAATTAAGTTTTAAATTTAAAAAACTTTAATTCTAAAAAAGAAGTATTTATTCATCTTGGAAGGGAGGAAGCATGCCGTAGTTCCTGACAATCAGAGAACAACTTGTGGGAATCAGCCCTCTGCCGGATGGACAGGGCTCTGGGGAGAGAGCTAAAGTGGTGAGGCTTGGTCGCAAGTACCTTTGTTCTCTCTCTCTCTCTCCCTCCCTCCCCCCCCCCCCCTCTCTCCCTCTCTCTCTCTCTCTCTCTCTCTCTCTCTCTCTCTCTCTCTCTCTCTCTCTCTCTCACACACACACACACACACACATACACATAAATAAATGTACATTTACTCTAGTTTTATTTCTTTATGTGCAGGTACACATGCCACAGCACATGTGTGGGGGTCAGAAGACAACTTGAGGGAGCTGGTTCTCTCCTATTATGTGGTTCCTGGGAATTGAACTCAGATCATTAGACTTGGCAGCTTGTACTTAGTCTAATCCATCTCCCTGGCCCCAGCAAATGTGACTTAAGAAAGGTCACTGGGGATGGCCTGTCCCTTGCCATCAGCTTTATGCCCACTAATTTTAGAAGGGAAAAGGAGAGGTGGCTAAAGGGGGGCAGGAAATGTCACCATGGCTCTTCCTTAAACCCTGGAGTGATGTGTGGAGGAAGAGTAGATAGTAGAAGTTCTGGTTGTCCCATGTTAGGATGTACAGTACCATATGTATGGGAGGAAGGCATGGGCTACATGGCTTTGTGGAGGCCTATTAAGGAAAGGCCATCTTCTCCCAGCCAACCATGATTGGTTTTTATAGATTTATTCTTATTTTCTTTATTTTTTTAAAATCTGTTATGTTATATGATTTAAAGTTCAAAGAATGGGACCTGAATTATGTGTGGTCCAGTGTGGAGACTTGACTTTCTCAGTTTATAATCCAAGAGAATCATAAAATTACTATCTAACAGGACACATTCTGGTAAAGAAAAAAGACATAATATTGTCTCTTCCCTTTGAGTTAATCCAGAAGGGCCTGACAATCACCCACACAGGAAAACTCCCCCAGGAGGCTGTCGCTGAGACTTTAGAAAACAATCCCAACCCTAAATGTGTAGGTCAGCACATGGGTCCCTTGGCCACTGGCCACTCTCACCTTTGAGAGTGTTCTCCTATGCAATGGTCTCTCAAGCTACAGTCAGCCCTCGCTCTTGGTAGCTTTGCAAATTGCTCTGAACAAACCTTCCCTTCCCTCTGCTCTGCACTCTGTGTCTCAGATGGGCTCTCCCAGGGCAGATCACAGCGCTGGAGAGCTGAAGGCCAGCTGGAGCAAAATCCAGGTGACAACATTTGCCGACAGCGATGGTAAAAGCAGTTCAGGCATTCTTGGCTACACCAAGGTCTGCTTAAAACTCTCTTCCCACAAATTCAACCTTCACAAATGAAGCTCACTCCTTTTCGCAACTGAGACAAAAGAATAGGATAGACACTGCAGAAAAAAAGTAGCCTATGAAAGAAAACAGGAAAACTCTCTCTCTCTCTCTCTCTCTCTCACACACACACACACACACACACACACACTCCACAGTGTCTGCAGCTGACCCATGGCTCATTACAATAATAAAGTTCACACCCCCACATGGACACTTAACATGCTAGTGGGACATGTGACTCGGGAAGCTTTCCAAAGCCTGTTTGTAACAGAGTGCGCTCTAGGAAAGCCACGGCAGAAGAATAAGCCTGAAAGTCGACACTGACCAAACGAGGCAGAAAGCCCAAGCTAGATGAGGTCAAGGCCCCAGCTCTCTGTAGAGCTATGCACACCTGCTCTGCCCCCTTCCTTCCAGCTGCATTTTTTTCTGGTCGAAGTGTCCCTGTTGCTGCTGTAATAACATGTCTCTGCTCCATTCTTTGTTCTGGAAGAGAGAAATCTGGAATCCCTCCAGAGGTGCCATCAGCCCCTGACATCGCTTGTTAGCACAGTACTGTCAGGATCTTTCCACGCTATGGTAGCCGTCCTGGCAGGAATGAAGATGTTCCAAAGAGACATTTTTGTCCCTCTCTTTGGCTATTGTGCAGTTGAGCGATACTTTCAAGAATTGGAATTGCTCCAGGAGTTTCCCATTAGGATGTGTAAAAGCCCAGGACCAGCGCTGTGGGGACTTTGCTCTAAGACAGAGATTTCACAGTCAGATCCTTGTGAGAGACCAGAGCTGGGACAATGATGATGGGCAGGACCACACCTTGACCAAAACTGCCGAGTTCCACATTCCTCTTGCCCTCTATTTAAACCTAAACTCCTGTCAGGAATCTGAAGATGGACAACGAAGGGGCAGAAGAACTAATATTTCCTCTTCCTGATGCGGCCTTATTAAACACATCTCCTTTTCCTGTTTTCACTAGTCCTTGTATAATTGGTCTACTGAGAACCCGTGGCCAAGCATTGCTTGTTAGGGTTACCAGAGCCCGGTCTAGGATCCTAACATTAACAATGTTGGTGAGCCATACATATGTATTCCCACTCTCCCAACATGTGCATGCAGCTTCCAAAGCCTGCTTTCTCTTCTGAGTTATCCAGAAAGTGGAGTGTTCCCTTTCTATCATTCTCTTTTGTAAGAGTGCGTTCCCCAACACACTGGACTTCTCCCCACCTTTTCTAAAGCCCCCTCCTTGTCGTGTGGATGCCTCCCACCACGTGGCTTTTTCCTCCCTTCTCTCCTCCATTATCCTTGTCCAGGCAGCTGCCTGCACTGGATTTTTTTTGTTTTGTAAACTCAAGCAAAATTGTCATGGAGTTTCTGTTTGAGTTGATGGTCAAATTCTTTTAATAATGAGACCGAGAACCCTAAGAAGGGAACTTGGGTTTCTATTTCATCATCCAGCAACACAAATGGAACACCCCAAAGATTTTAGGCAACTGTTATGACAGATCTTATTGATTTGGAAACATCTTAGGGGAGATTTGGAGTTTTAAACTTGGTGGGTGTGTGCTGTAGCAGAGATTTGAGTCCTTGGAGTTCGGCTGAAAGAGGATAGAAAACTGAGACCCAAAGACACTGAGGGGGATCCCTAATGTTGTATTTTCCATCACATCCAGAGCTCCCACCTGCCGTCAATATTCAGGCAAAATGCTTAGCCACCCCAGCAATTAGCGCTTCCTGGCCATAGGACTGACAAGCACCATCAGTGCTCAGGCAAACTGCCCGGCACCCTAGGGCTTTAAGCCTTTGCACAGTGTGGTTGTGTGATCTGAGGTAGCTACTGTTAGTCCCTGTGCGCATGCACTAGGCGGCCTTTCAACGCGGACACGCCGGCTCTACCTCTCTCTCACCATGCTGTTTTCAGACAGGTCTGCACAGGTATATGCGCTACCCTCAAGTGGATTTTGTTGTGTATCTTGTGATCCATTCTCGAGCCAGGAAATCTCACCCATTGTGACTGTGTAAACGTGGAAAATACCGAGTCTGTACCGTCGTTGTAAGATACAGCATGAGAGAGTTCCTTGGCGGGTGACGACCGCAGCCAGGAAACAGAATATGCCCTGCAAAGAGAGGGTGATGGGAGGGTCGGGAGAGGGAGAGAAAGAGACACAGAGAAAGAGAAGAGGGAGCCTAGATGAGCTTGCCTTGGCAGGAAGAGAGATAGGGAGTGGGCGAAGCTTCTCCTAAAGGGACCTTTGTGCCTGCTAGTGCTGTAGCAGTCATAGGCCCCTGGGCTGAGGAGGGTACTGCCTGGGTTCCTCCAACAGGTGACAGTCGGGCCCCAAGTCTGTACTGTCCAGAGACTCCCACTGACTAATCTGAACGTGTCATGGCTTCTGAAGCAGCACAGGTCCATACATAGTCTCCTTCTGGAGTTCCTGAAAAACACCTGACTGACAAATCTTTTATTCAGTTCACTTTTGTGTTCCTTTTATGAGTTTATGTCTCACTAAAGATTGCTGTCGTTGAAGAGGTTTGGAGAGGCAGGAAAGACAGAGGAGCAAAGTGGTTTTGGATTGTTGTTTGTTTTGTTTTTAATTACTATTTAAAAAAATTTTCTCTTGGGGGGATACTGCAGGACTGATAGGCAGATGTGGAGGGACTGGGAAGTAAGCAGAATAGCAATGCATGACGTGAAATTTCCAGGGAATCAATAAAAGGTTATGTTTATAAAGCAAAGAAAACCAGCCTACAAACCGCAATCCCAGAGAACTTAGACAGCAATGAGGACACTAAGAGAGACTTACTTAGAGCTAATCTTCATGGGAAGTAGAAAAAGACAAGATCTCCTGAGTAAATTGGGAGCATGGGGTTCTTGGGGGAGGGTTGAAAGGGGGAGGGGGAGAGGCAGGGACGGGAGCAGAGAAAAATGTAGAGCTCAATAAAAATCAATTAAAAAATTATGTTTAAAAACAATTGCTGTTTGGTGTGCCAGGTTTAAAATGTGCATGAACCTATGTGTATGTATGGATGTAGGTGTTTGTGGAGACGATGCCAGGACTGCCTTAGTATGAATGAGCTGCATCCTCTGATTTTCCTCTCTTCATCTCAGAAGCAAGCTACTATGGAGGCATTGAACTAGTTTCATGAGACACAGCACGCTCAGGCCTACCTAAAATGGCAACGAACTGAGATGTTTATCTTAAGCTTGTTGCTGGTTGGATTGCTCGGGTCTAGTGCTTTAAAGTGTTAATTCTGAGAGAAAAATCTTATTATTGAATTTATAAAAGATAGCTGATTTATTAGCAATAACTGATAACTAATTTATAAAAGATAATACTGGAGAAGTGGTAATCATGTAAAATACTTTACTGAGAATAAGGTTTCTTTATGTAAAACAATATTAATGGAAGACATGGATTAAAAGTTAAGAAATCCTGCAATGCCTAGGTATGCATTGATAAGGATTCTTTTCCAGAACAGATTCTTATG